TAATTCTCGAACACTATACCACCCATAACATGTTGACAAACTAAAACAATTATTAGTAGACAATTCCAATACTTTTTCATGTATTTGAGAGAAATGACAGTTTATTCAGGACATTATTCACAAAAAAATGTATTCCGAATATGATTTCCATCAGATTTTCTTTGCCAATTTTTAAAGATTTTTTTAAAAATACAGAAATATAATAAAAATCAGAAGGCAGATAAAAAAAAATCAGAAGGTACAGATGATACTAAACAAGTAATTTTATTAATTTGGCCATAGGAATGATCCTCCACACATATCCTTAGAAAACATGCCTAACCAACACAGATGAGATTATTAGTTAATCCAAATGATATACTTAAATACTTTACTTGCTAAATATGCGCCAAATTTATAATTTGAATATATGAATAAAAACATAATGAAAATTAATGACATGGTTGAAAGGTTGAAGGTCAATTAGTGCTAGAAGCATGCAAATGTTTGAATGATAAAATACACTTGCTGTTGATACCTATTATCTTGGATGTACTTTGGTCTATCATTACTTTTATACCATGATCAATCTTTCCAATATGACTTTTGGAATGGTTTTGGTTTTGAAGGAAAAAGTAAGCTTAGAGGATAATAAAATTAGTAGACAATCTGAGCAAGGCATTGGAGTCTATCAACACATGCAATCACGACAAACTAAGAAGATGCCAGCAGCTTATACCCGATTCACACGTCAAATTAAATTTAACAAAAAGTAAAAAGAGTTATTCCTACCGAGATAAAAAGCATTCACACGCGTCTGTAAGGTAATGTCAAGGTCGTGTAAAATTTACTCAGTGTTTATTCAATGAATCATTTTTTCCCCTACTGCGATATAGGTCTAGCCTAGGCCTAGTTGAGAACCCGTCACAGATGGACTGTTGAACTCACCATCCCTGTAAACATTCGAAGCAATCAATGCCCTTAACAACTGCTGTAAACTACTGTACTACTACTACTACAAAACTAGGCATAACTTCCAACGTTTCTGTCGACTCTTGATAATACTAGTAATAGTACTAACACCATCCCGACGTTCATTTTATGTATATCTTCTTCTTCTACCATTACTAATTAACATCAATAACAAGGGTAATGCATTCATCATTGAGAAAAACTAGGCCTATCTATTTCTAGTGGATCAGAATTTTCTGCAGAAGGAAGAAAATTCAAAGAACCCCGTGAAACACAGCGGTAGATTGTTGTTGTGTTGAAATCCCTGCGCATGCGCAGATCCATCCATGCTACATCTCGGGAGCTTTACCAGCCTCAGCGAGGCTGGTAAAGATTACCGAGACGTTCCGAGATTTTACAAGGATATTACACGGAGGTACTTTCACACGTGCTGTAAAATGTTACTTTTGGTTACATTTTGTTACATTTGGTAAGATATTTGTACGTGTGAATCGGGTATTAGATCAGTCGATTAAACTGGTAGTGTGCACCACTTTGTGTGCGCTAATCCCTGGTTCAATTCCTATCGCTGCTCTCCTGTAGTTTTAGCTAGGGTATGCGGGTAGAAAAATTTACATAGGGTTCTAATCGGTATTGTATGCGCGGGTGGTCTACCCATTCGTGCAGAACTCGGCTTTAAAAAAACCATTAACCTCAAACATAAAACCTAAAGTCTATATGCAAATGGTGAATTTCTATCCCATGATCCCTCTAAAAAAAATGCGTGTCTCATTTCTCGAACGATTCATTATTAATAGTAATTAAAAATAACAAAATAACATCGTTTTACAATAATTGACACGTTTATTATTTCAAAATGGTAAATTTGTACCGACTAACGGTAGTAGTCACAGCGTTGCTCCGTATCCAGACACGACTGTTTTTGCAATGAACAACTGCAAGACGGTAATGGCAGCACATTTTGGCACATAAACCATGAAAACTTTCATTCGTTTAACAATGGTAGTTAAAAATACACAATGGTAATGGTAATGGTTGGAGACTTATATAGCGCAAAGTACATGGACTCTATGCGCAAAACAAGGAAAAACAAGAAAAAACAAAGCTATCCTAGGCTACACAAATCACGAATTGATAAAAATTTTGGCCGTTTTCGCAACATTAAAATTTTCGCGAATCGCAAAAGGCCTAGATTTTATTCATGAGAGGAATATCATACAGTAGCTGAAAATATCATTTTATCATGAGTTCTAGGCCTAGGTTAGATAGGCCTACAGCCACTGTCTAGGCTACAGTACCTAAAACTCTTCACAAACATGTTGCAATTTGTGAGGATTCCCCATTTAGGCCTAGGCCCTAGATCTGCATTGCATGTTCATCGGCGAGTTTAGGCCTTGAAACACGAACAATTCTTGCTGTTTATATTGTTCATTATCATTTTCAAAAAAGTTGAAATTAATTTTTGCTGTAATTCAGTGATTTATAATGACCAAAATCTCATTTCTGAAACTGATTCGCCATTCACGATCTTTTTTGAAACATAGAAAATGTGACTTGGAAATTATTCGCGGCATAAAACTTTCGCGAATCTGGACCATTCGTGATTTTAATGTGCGCGAAATTTCCTGGTTTTACAGTACTACCATTGACAAACAAATAAGCAGTGGTCTTACTATCACGTATGCATACGACAGATTTAATAAGGTAACAATCTGCATTGAAATCATTTATTTTATCGAGTTTTACAGTTTTGTATTTGGAAACAAACTGTAAAGGAAGCAGGGACCAATACAATGTAAACAAACTTTACTTCTGGGGCGTTCTGAAACCATTAACAGGCAATCAAAAAGGGAATGTCATAAAAAAATGCTCCCTGCTGCTAATGCATTCTCCTCCAAAACACTGCAATTTGCAGTGTTGGATCATTGATGGATATCAGCAGGCGGTCCGTGTTTAACACCCATTCGGGTGAGAACTGGAAATGGCCGTTTCCCGAGTAATCCTGTTTTAGAACAGGACACACTCCTAGATGAAATACAATTAAGATAGACCACAGCCTTTCAGGTAGATTAATCCTTTGGTCCTGTGTGCAATAAAGTCCATGTGCATGTTACAGCCACTGTGTGCACTGAACCGTGAAGATCATTTCAGATCTTTGCTTCCTGGTTCAATTCCTATCACTGCTCTCCTTTAGTTTTAGCTTCTCTTCTTATTAAGTCACTACGTAGCTAGTGTGTATGATCTTGCTTACGTAGTGTGGTAGAAGGATTCGCAGGTAGGATGGAAACCTGACATGTCGCAGCGAAGTTTTAGCTAAATGGCTGAAACATGTTTAAAGTCCTGTTCACACTACCAAATTTTATTTGCAAAAACATGGGACATGCCTGAATATGATCATGATGACGACATATGATGATCATATAGGTACATCTTGACTATATATAGGCGAAGAACAGTCTTTTGTCAAAGAAAATTTGTTGGACAGGACTTAAAAAAGATAGCACACATCCTTTCATTTACGATTTAAGCCTTGGGTCCTATGTGCAATATGGTCAATGTGCATGTTAAACAATGTAGTACACTCTTCAGAAGAGAGTAGGAAATTGTGTACCGGTGTACTGCTGTTAACATTTTCACCAGAAGGACCCAACATAAGAAAGTCTTCGGACTAAGAGGGTACCATGATGTCATCCACACTAAATACGCCAGATATTAAATTGACACAAGAAGGTCATGTTGCCTAACAATTGTTTGGCGCCCTCTTGTATTATCCTAGCTATAAGCGTAACGCTAGTTATATTTACAGCTGGAATTTGAGGTATAAGACATTTGCACAAGACATTAATTTACACCTACATCATTCATTTAATTCTTTTTTTTTTGTAAAGCTAGGAATAAGCAACATTGGGGTTGATTTATACCTAATCTGATTTCTTCTTTTTTTGGGGGGTCAAAAAGACAAAGTTCATGTTACTTTCCTTACACAACACCATAATACCTCTAAGGTATACAAGATCTCTAAGCAATGACACATCATAATACTGGTCTATTCCAGAAAAAAAAACAAAGCAGATGGTCCGTTTTGATAACCTAGTAAATTACTCATTAATCATTGTTGCCTTATTTCGGATGCTACTACTTAAAGACATTAATTTACACTGCAGTTGCTTGCAAGTATGGAAACTGTATGCTCTGTATACATTCTGGGCTATGGGAATGCACTATTTGGATAGGATTATGGGAAACACCTTGGAAGAGAACTGAATTGAGATCTTAGTGGAGCAAGGTCAATAACCCATTATGCATTGGTTTCTTCGATTATGTTAACAAAACTATACAGTACCGGCCAGTTGTATTGCAAAAATCCCAACGCGTTTTACCCGTTGTCGTTGCGTTGCGTTTGCGTTGAGTTGCGTTGCGTTGAAATGAACGTTGAGAGTACATTGTTTATTTAACGATGTCGTGTTCGCGTGTCAATAATTGGTGATAGTTAATTCAACGCCCTAACTTATCTAGCAGCAACGTTATCAAAGATTATCAATAAACAACATTCGTTGATTTTGAACACCGAAGTATTGTTTGTATAGTACGAATCTTTCAGTATTTATTCATCTAGATGTGTATAAGAGACAGGGGAGCAAGGTCAATAACCCATTATGCATTGGTTTCTTCGATTATGTTAACCAAACTATACATTTACTAATGAATTTCCTTTTGGATGAAATAAAATATATCGTATATTTTTATCACATTTTTACACATACTATTAAAGTAGCATGTCATAATACTATATTATGTTGTTATATTTTTTATGCTACTTATTGTAGAAATTCAGAAACAATACAAAAATATATCAAATAGGCTCCCCTCTTATTTCTCTCTCACATCCCATGACCTTCTATACCTTCGCTTCCCCCTCCCCCAAAAAACTTTCTAGACATGAATGTGCATATACATTGCACATGAGACAAAAGAAATGTGCTTCCATACATCGCTTCTAATTGAAGATGATGAGATTGTAATCTGATGAATTAGAATGAGTCACTCACCTCTCTTGTTTTAGAGCATATTCTAACATCTTTATACGTCGAACCAAGTCGTGTTTTAGATTCTCCTGACCTTTTCGTTCTCCTTGAAGGAATGCTATTCTCGCCTGTGAAATTCAAGCACAAAATGCAACAAAATTAATTTACGCTGCTTGTTAAAACAATATTTAAATGTCAGTTTGTAGTACATCTTACAATTACATAACAGTGGCAGATCCAGGGAGGTGGCAAATGCACGCTCACATTAAAAAAAAACCCTTACCAAGTGTGAAATCGTTTGATAGGTTAAAAATGGCTGAAATAAATGGCTGAAATCAAATATAAAATAGTACCGTAAATAAGCACTGCTCTGGAATACAAACATGATCTTTTTCGCTAAGCACCGCGGAGCTTAATCTAGAGTACATATTACCTGTGTGTAATGAAACACTTTGAGAAATAGGGTTTTAAACACAATGGATACAGTGTTATAATGAAAGACACAAGCACATCTTTATATTATATACATTTATTTACGATGATGTAAGGCCTACGAATATATGACGATAGGCCTACCTAACTACAGCAACATGTGAGATAGGTAACATGGAAACTGGCATAGAAAGTGCCATATTTTTAATAAGAGACACCCTGGAATAAGTGCCGGGGCACTTTCGAGGATTTACGGTAATGTACGCTAAAGGAATACCCCATCCTACCACAGACCATAGATTTGACCCCCACTTGGACCATAAATTAAGATCTTCCCCACCTGGCAAAAAAATTAAACCCTACTATAGTACCTCCTTTCATATTACTTGCAGCGTTATGGGACTGTACCAAACGTACAAAAGTAATGTAAAATAAAATAAATTCTATTTTAATGCACATTTGGACATATTTTAAAGGAATGTGCACAATAAAAATGAATAAATTATTATTATTTGTTCTTGCTGTAATGCACAACACTGATGTTCAATCATGCTGGTTGGAACACCAGTAAACATACTAAATCAATTGGAAATTTAACTTTGGAACATTGTCACAGACATAGTAAAAAAGTGTAGCCATGTTAGTCTGCCATAGAACAATATAAAAGAAATGACAGCAGCACTTTTAAGACTAACTGGTAAAAAAAATTTAATCTCCAGCTTTTGTCCACACATGTGCTGAGATTAGAAAAAGTAGTTTTTCCTTTTATTTATTTTTTTTTCAATTGTTGAAATCGCACCATAATTAGTCTTGTATACATGAAGACTATGTAGACAATATTGTACTGATTAAGTAATTGTTAAAGTCAGACTCCGGAGGAAACAAATTTTTTGATATATTGTAGAACTGATTTTTCTAAAACAGAAAAGGCCTAAATAGGGTTAGGCCTACTAGGCCAACTGCTCCTAGTTAATAGCTATGCTATGCCTAGAAATAGAGGCTAGGCCTACACATATTCAATTAAATGCTCTCATTGTCATTCATTGAAGGTTTTCCAGAAAACTTCTTTGTTTTTTGCTAAATGTTATTTTCTTTATGATTCCTTGTTTTACAATACTTCCATCTTTTTAAATTCCCCCCATTCACTTGACAGGCCTAGCTTTGTGTGTGGATTTTTTCCAAAATTTTAATACTGACACTATTTTAATATTACGGAACCTGAAAGTACAGTACCTTATTTATTTCGATTAAATGTCCTGTTTATTGTTATTTTTCTCTATATTTTTTTTTTACTAGGCTATAGGCCACACCTGAAACTGCCAAGAGTACTGAAACTGTTGCTGCTTCACTTCTATTCACATGGAAGTTGATGAACCATAAGGTGCTCCTGCTACAGCTTTGGCTATTAGTAGTGGCGATGTACACTTCTTCATACAGAATAGTCAACATTAACTCAGAACTGAACTCACAACTCAGATTGTTTTATTTGTCCAAACTTATAACCAACAAATATTGTGTATACTGTAATTATATTATAACACATTGATGGTCAGGAGACTCTCATTAAGGCTAAAATAAGCCGCTACCATGAGAGCCACTGTAGAGATAAATAAATGTATTTATGTTTTACACATAGTACAATTTAATGTGTCTTGTATTGTATTTACTTATTTATTGAACTGGCTGTTCCGAATTCTGTATTATTAGATCAAAAAAAAAATCAACATTTTTCTTGTACACTTTCGGGGGGAGGGGGTTTCATGAAAAAGTGTACTCTTTGTACACTTGTGAAAATGTTGATAATTGTGAAGGACCCCTTAGCAGCAGGGAGCATTTTTTATCAGTTAATCCCCTTTGATTAAGTGGTCTCGAACTAGAGGGGTCTCAAATCAGAGGGTGCACTGTAAAACTGTTTATTTTTTAAAGCAATATCTTCTTAATAACCTCTGATTTCATTCATTGTCATCCTTGAAGCTTAGAAATACCAGAGTTGGCGTCCGGGCGTTTTTGTCGTTTTTTTTCTAATTGATTTTATTTTCAATAATCTTGTTTCTTCTTATTATGTATGGCCTTGTGTAGCCTTGATGAAAAACACCCATGGGTGATTTAAGTGTCTCTGTGTCATGGAGACACTTGAATTATGATGTTTAAATAAAGTATTATTATAATTATTATTATTGTAATAGACTAGTCTACATAATTTGTACTGTACAGTAGTATTGTGATTCTACTAGATATGATGTATACAGCTGCCTTGTATCATATGGCATATCGTATACTAACTACCTTGCTGGACCAGCTCACTTTGAATAATATTTATGCATGAATTATACAAGCTTGGGTCAATGCTATAAAACAATAGATAAATGTAATTGGGGTAAAATATCATAATGCACTTAACTCTGTCACACATACACATTTTAAGTACTTAAAATTATTAAGCCTGGTTCACGTCGAACTTTCATCTAGATATAGATCCACTTAACTAGTTAAAATTCAACGTGAACCACTCAGTTATAGCTAGATAAAGGAATTAAGTCACTTAAGTTAAGTGACTTAACTTTACTAGAATAACGGTAAATTAACTTGCTTAACGGTAAAGTCGGCTCGGATTACAAGGACACGATTACGTAACGTAGGCATCTAAGCCAGCGTTGTTGTATTGTACCACCATTATCTCTTCTGGACTCCAACAATGCTAACAGTAACAACAGCATCGAAATAGTCTCATTAGTCTGGTTTTCAGAAATTATTTGTATTATTATGGGTAAAAAACCCAGCAAACGTCCGTTTTACGAATAGTCAATATTACCAATGACCTTTGCGCCATCGACCAAGTAATGTACGTTTTTCAAAGTGATAATGTATATTTTTCTTAATAATAAAATCAGATTTGTTGTATTTATTTATTGACAATTCAATCTTTTCCATTTCTGCTATAATAGTCGCTATTAATTCAGTTTCAACGAACTACCACCAACCCCAGTCGTTAAAATGAGCGCACATGTTTACGATGACGATGAAGCCAGCAACTTATTTGACACCACAAAGATAGATTTTCGCAAAGTGCATGTAAACAACACAATTGAGCGATCTTAAAAACTACAAAACAGGACAGAAAGGTCCATATATATACATATATATACAGACGTTTTAATGAAAATTAAAACAATATTTTGTTAAATGGAAGAATGCTAGCTAGCGATTAAAATAATTCGTTTTTATCGAAGGTCAATTTAGCTGGGGCCTAGAGAATCTACTACTTAGATTGCGATAGAACACGCTGCTGCACTAGTCGTTGGTTCATACTGGTCGGCTAGGTTAGGCAGTGGAAACTCACACCTTCTCTACAGTAGTTTACAATTTTTTTTGAACGAATACCACTTGGTACTAGAGGTTCGTAAAATACAGTAGATGTTTTATTAAACAAGCCTTTCCACCGTGTGACGTCGACGGCCTGAAAATGGCTGGCTGTTTATCTGGCTCTAACTTGGCATCGAACACAATTAGGGGATTATAGTATCATGTTTCTAGACGGGTATATCTAGATAAAGTTCGACGTGAACCAGGCTTTAGTCATTACAAGTTAACATGATGCTACACACAGTAGGAAGCCTATAACTTTGTTAGCCACACAAGCAGAGAATTGTTTCTCAGTGTACAGTACCACCCCAATTCACCACCAGAAGGACCTGTTGGAAATGTTGTAGGTGTTGTGTACCATTTGCAAAAAATTCAATCCAAAGCAAAGTTCTAAAATTTTCAATTCTCACCTTAATAATTGTTTATATACCCTATAGTACAAATTTCACTTACCATAATCGACATATGTACTAACTATTGTTAATTGGGTTATGACTCTTTGCTTTGTTCTGCTGTATCATGGCTCAATACTTTTAATTTTTAAGAACTATACAATGGAATATTTAGCATGATTAAACTCAATGAACAAAAAACAATATATATTATGCAAATATTATGTTAATTTTTGATTTGGATGAGTTGGAAGCTGATATGCAATTTCACTTATACCAATTGTAAAGTTCATTTATTATAATTTTTGAAATGTAAATATTTAAAACATTTGAAACAAAACTGGTTGAATAATAAGGTTCATTTTAGGCTACATCCTGGTAATAAAATGTTGACTTGATATTCATTAGTTTTATTAAATAAAATATTTTTTTAATTAGAATTAAGAACTCTAAAACGATAAATTTTCATTTAATATCTGGCAGGAACAGGACCTATTTGTTAGGCAAAAGTTAGGTATAAATTATTTCCAGTTTGGGATTCAAAGGAAAATTAAGTAAAGCTCCGTCCACTGTCGTATGCCCATATATAGGCATGATGTGCCTATATATGGTCATGATGTGATGTCATCATGACCATATTTAGGCATGTCACACATTTTTGTCAAATAAAATTTGAGTCTTGACAGAGTTTAAGGAAATCGCAAACAACTTTTAAATAACTGAATAAACAGTGGTACTACAGTATTAATGTTGAACATTACAATACTTGATTCATCCAAGCTTTCCAATCAAAATGATACAAGATAACAGAAATTATTTTTAAAAACACCACATTACAGTAAATAATAATTTTGTCATAGAACTATTGGAATGTACTGCAGCTAATTTATTTGTAATTTATTATACATTTATTTATGTATTTGTCAACACTTTGAGAGGATGGATCTAACAGTAATAAAAAATTATTATTAGTGAATTGAAAGCTAGTCTGTCCAAAAATAAATAATAAATTTAATAAAATATAATTCTATCAAAAGTACAATCTCTGCTCAAGCAAGATTCTATTTCAATTGATTCCTAGCAACTGTTATTGTTTGTATATTCGTATTGTACTAATTTTCTTTTAAGAATTTCCTTGTAGTGGTTGTTGAACAATTTTTTCATCAAAAATTGTGCCTGTGCACATAGGGATTTGATTCAATGATTAATACCTTGATTCTTCTAAAAAAAATGAAGACAAACTACTGCAACTCAGCACCAGTATATTTTTTTATTCTACCCTGGTCAATTTTTTTGGAATAAAATCCTTCATAATATATTTTCTTTAAACTTTAATAATATAGTCCTGCAGTGCTCTACCAGTCAAATCAAATGGCTCAAAAATTCATTTAAACCTGGGTCAATCAATGATATGTGTTTCAGCTGAAATTGGGCCAAAATAACAGGTTTAACAGCCACACACTTTAAGTACAACATGTATTTCAGTGTTATTTTTTTACAATGTTTTTTAGGTCACATATTTTTTAATAACCATTTAAAAGATAGTTCCTACCAGTAAGTGAATATCAGTGATGTTCAAGCATTGTACTTTACTAAACATAACAAAATATGAGCTTTGTTAGGAAATGTATTAAAACATCCATACTATAACCTCAAAGAATCATACAACAAAACAAAAAGTTTGCAAAAACATTGTCAAGCCTGTGTCCAATGATTGTGGCGTTTTATGTACCTTAATGCTTTAACACTATTTGAACTAAAGCCAGGTTCTCGCTGCGTCGTACGACAGCCGTATGACCCTGGTACGAAGAATCAAACTCTGCTCCTTTTGAGTGCTAGACAACACGATGCCGTTTTGCTGATTGTCAGTATCATTACGAACATGTCGCAATTAAAAATGATCCTGTGCGCGCGCCTTGTGGTGTTACGTTCTTGATAGAATCTGGTCAGCCAATGACCATTGGATGCAGTGTCTGGCTTAAGATGACAACTAAGAGTAGAATCGCAAGAAGTCCGACTGCAATGATTTTGCAGGCACGCAATGAAACGAACAACAATTTGAATAGAGTTTGAAACTCGAACATGTACATTGTTGGTGTCTTTTATGTTGTACTATGTTTTTATGTAAATTTAGGGGTTTTTGATATTGTCATAAGAGAAAAAAGTACAAGTCTGTCTTGATAGTTAAATTTTGTACTGTATCATCACTATGTAAATTATGAACACAAACAGTCAATCTTCAAAAATGGTAAAGTGAATACACTTAAACAAGCACCAGAGTATTATGCTGACAGAATTAATGGTAGGTACTTCCTGATAGTAAACAAGCAATGACAAAAATGTTAAGGTTGAAGCTCATGCCTAGGAATTTGTTTAAAAATGCACATTAAAAAAATATGTAGCTATGGCCTATTTATGGTTTGAATAAGTCGGTTTTATTTCAACTAACATTAAAGGCTAGTTATCCAAAGGTTGTGGGTTCCTTTCCCACCCGAATCACTTTGTATCCTTTACCATGTTGACCCAATGACGAGGGAAAAGAAGCATTATAAATGCCTGTACTTGTACCGGTGTATTTGGGAACGTACTGAGTATTTGGTATGACAACACATCAGATAATGCAAAACATCACTCCTATGATATTTTCCTCATGCAAACTCACATCGAAATAGCACTTGCAGTACCCGATGCTACTTGAGGGTCGAATTCCACACTAGTCACTAAGCGCAAGCTTGGCAGTCTAGTGGATGGCACGGTACCAGGCTAGTTATCTGGAGGTCGCGAGTTCGTTTCCCACCAAAATCACTTTCAAATTGTTTTTGCAAATATTTGGGAACGTGAATATTCGGTACGATAACAAGTCAGTTATCATCACTCCTATCATACTAGGTTCTCTATGTTAAATTTGTGAGTAAGTGATTCATTTGGCGTGTTCAATTGAGACTTATCCATTAAGTATGCTTGCCACGTTAAGTACAAACTCAACGAAGCATTTCAAGCGTTAAGTACAAACTCAACAAAACAGTTAGTGTTATTTAAACAACCAAAATACGAAAAGTACTTTTCTGTTGAGCACGAAAGTTCCCATTCGAGTACGACAATTTAAAAACTTCCTGTCATGTTTAGTTTAAACGGTGAAAAAAATTTGTTATCGGCGCAAACGCGCGCAAAGGATCGTTTTTATGTGATGATAAACAAATATATCTCTTTTTTGGCTTTAATATTATTAGAGAACCTAGCTAAATAGTTAGTTGACCTAGATATTATATTATCAATAACACTAATATTGTAGTAGTAGGGCCTATGCATGATGAATGGATTGACAAAAAAAAAATGTTCATTCAAGGCTTGTAAAATGGCTAAGCCTAGTAGTAGACTAGCTAGGTAGTAGTAGTGTAATATGTATTGTTACTACGCTCACGCTAGGGTCAAATTTTTTTTCGCCAAAATAGCGAAAGGTTTTTAATTCTTTTCGATAAATTGAAAATGCAAATAACCAAATTTAAAAACCAATAAAATTTCACAAAAACGATTCCATAATTGAATTTCTTGCTTATTTAGATCATTATTCATTTGTAACCAGTCGTAAAGGTGGTAATATAACAGTATTAATGATTTAACAAACAAAATAAAAACGATCGTAGGACCGGCGGCTACCAGACCTGCTCTAGGCCTAGTGTTACGCCTAGGCCCTAACTAATAAATTATGTGGGAATCAGAGTAGGCCTAGGCCTATACTACTACTTAGAGAGTGCCTCACTTTTTGATGCATTACAACTACTACTTAGAGAGTGCCTCACTTTTTGATGCATTACAACAAGTGACTGTTGTTTCAAATACTGTACCGTACAGTAGGCCCTGTACCTGTTGTTTTGCTCTACAGCACAGCAAATATAATCATCAATAAAATTGATGTCTTTTAGCTAGCGTGAGCGTAACATTATTGTTTTTAATGTGATAAAACAGCTAAACACTCACATATTGTCAATATACTGAATGTAAAGGAGCCTAGGGGCCTAGGCTAGGCCTAGTTTATTTTATCCTTGTATTTGTAGGCCCATGTCTAGATCTATGTAAATATCTAAATAAAAGGTAGATAATGTAGCAAAAAATATTAAACTAGGCCTAGGCTAAGCAAAGGGTAGGCCTAGGCTAGGCCTAAAATTAAATTGAAGGCAGTCCAGTGGAAAAACATTCATTCTGCTCTTCTTACCAAACCAGTTCTTAATATTATTATTAACAATAAAGTGAAAATATTTCAGCTTAAAACATAGAACAAACAGTATTAGCAAAATATATAGGTACAAATATCAACTTTAGTGTTAACTATCATAAACCAAGCGCTAAAATAGCAATGCATGATCATTTCTAGGCTAGACTGCCTATTCCCCATTCCATTACCTGTAACTCGGCTCGCTCAACCTCCCACTGAGCCCTTTCCATCTCGAATCTCGCCCACTCATGCTGAATAAAATGCAATATTCCAGGTATAGTATACTTCGATCTTGAATTGTCATCTTCCAATTTGCCTCCTAAAGCATTTACGTTCGCATTAGAACCAGCATTTAGTTGGTTTAATTGTTGTGGAGATGATCCTGCCCCGTTTTCCATTCTTATCATCTTTGCTGTTACGATGATTAACCATCCGCCATACTTGCAAAATGAACATAGGGTGGTCTAGCAAAGCATTCTGGGTAAAATTCCAATTATCCGTTTGGTCTGTTATATTCAGCTAAATATTATACACAGTGCCACTCTGTCCATTTTTTTTATCTTAGATTTTCTTCATGTGAAAAATTACGTGTTGGACTTACTATTTATATTTAAATAGCATTAACTTATTGCGACGACTGAAAGTAAAATTAAAAGATCTAGCAGATGAAAAAGAATCAAGTTGTGAACATTTGCAAGTACAGTACTGAAGTTTTACAGCCCTACATTATTTTCATAATTATCTTCATCGTCAAACAATGGTGGCGCTAAAACAAATTAATTTCTATTGAAATCACATCAGGCGGAGACATTCTCCAATCCATGCTCCAATGTAGGCGTATATTTTGCATTACAGCATAGAGAAAATCTCTATGATTACAGTAATTAGTATTTTGATTTTTTGGATCATCCGTTTACAGTGGCAGATTCAAAGGGGAGGGAACAAACTATAAATTAAAAATTATTTTACTATAAATTAAAAATTATTTTACTATTTTAAAATTAACTATATAAAGGAGTAAAAAGATGATTAAATTCACATTTAATCATGACAGTGCCATTTCTGGCCGGCCATAGGTGCAATTTTTCTTAAACCTCAGCCCCAACCATGATGTGGCCAGGGAGATGATCCGGGGGTAGGTGGGGGTGCGTGGGGAAGAAAAAAAATTAGAATAAATGGAGGAAATAGTGAAAAGGGGGAAGTTTACCCATAAGTTCAGTGGTGGATCCAGCAGTGAGTGAATGGAGAGCTCAATTATTTTACCACCGTTCTTATTTTGAATTTTCCAAGTGATCACAGCACTACATCCCTGAAGCCGATTTTTTCCAACGATTTTATAAATCAGGATGTAAAAAAAGACCAAAAGACGGAGACCTAAGATGGAAGTTTTTAGCCATATATAACCGTCTAGGACGACTGTCATTATTTATAAATAAGGACATAGTACGAAGCCATTTTTATAAATAATTCGTTATGCAAATTACGTAGTAATAAATATTCATCAGTGCAAGCCGCGGTCGCAATTTATTTTTATCGTAGGTAAGTTGAGCAAAAATTCATGAAATTATTATTCATTAGAATGTCTGAAGGCATTTCTAGCGCATGCGCAATCTCGCCTCACTGAACTTATTTCGCTCTGCAGCTTTTTCACGTCGCGGCGGAGCGAAGGTTAGATTATCGGTTGTGGGGATTCACTGTGTGTGGGGTTGTGATGCTTGCGGTACCTCTGTGGTTTATGCTGTAATAAATAATAAGTAAACTTATATTAAAATACATTAAAAACAGGACAAATAAATGGGGCCTAGCGTAGGCCATATACTACTTCTAGCCTGGGCCTAGCTCCCTAGATAGCCACACTTACGACGTCAACATATTAGTATAGTCATTGGCGAATCTCAGGCGGTCCTGACCCCCTCCCCTTCAAAAAAAAAATCTCTGTGTACCGGTACTCACATAGGCCTAGACCTATTTACTGTAATGAGAATGAGGAAAAAAAATTACCTGACCGTTTAAAAAAGGTTTTAAAAAGTGGAAAACCTTGAATTTTGATTAAAAGACAATTCAGAAGTCGGGAAAACTCATTTCTCGCCATCTAAAAACCAACATTTTCCCGAGAAGGACCCCCGACCCCCGTTTTATTTGGTGTTCATCGCTTTATTGAAAAAAAGAATATGTATGCAGCGACTTTGTTATGTACTGTACATGCACACATAGTAGGGCTACTAGTATTTACAGTAATAAGAATGAGAAGTTTACCTCTGACCGTTTTCAAGCGGAGGAAAACCTTAAGATTTAAAGAACCTAAAAGTCATTAAAAGACACCTCTGAAGTCGGGAAAGCTCATTTCCTGCCATCTAGTGATCAATTTTTTGCCGGGGAGGACCCCCGGTCACCCCTTCATCTTTGGGGTTATCCATTCATGAAAAGAAAAAAATACCAAAGCAACTCAATTTTTAAAATGTACGTATACACACATATAAGCCTATTTATTGTAATAAAAATGAGAAAGTTTACCTGACCGTTTTCAAGAGGGGGAAAACCTTGAATTTTGAAGAACTTGAAAGTCATTAAAAGACACTTCAGAAGTCTGGAAAACTCATTTATCGCCATCTAAGAATTAAAATTTTCCCATGGAGGACCCCCGACCCCTGTGTTATTTGGGGTTCATCGATTTATTGAAAAAAGAATATGTATGCAGCGACTCAATTTTTGTTATGTACTGTACATACACACATAGTATAGTAGGGCTACTTAGGTACGGTACGGTATTTACTGTAATAAAAATGAGAAGTTTACCTGACCATTTTCATGCGGAGAAAAACCTGAAAATTTAAAGAACTTAAAAGTCATTAAAAGACACCTCAGAAAAGCTCATTTCCTGCCATCTAGTAATCACATTTTTCCCGGGGAGGACCCCCGGACCCCCTTTCTATTTGTTGTTATCCATATCATGGAAAAAAGAATACGTAAGCAACTCAATTTTTTTTGCACGTATACACACATAAATAGGCCTATTTACTGTAATAAGATGAGAAAGTTTACCTGACCGTTTTCAAGAGGGGGAGAAAACCTTGAATTTTGAAGAACTTAAAAATCATTAAAAGAGACACATCTGAAGTCTGGAAAGCTCATTTCCCGCCATCTAAGAATCAAAATTTTCCAGAGGGAGGGCCCGCGGACCCCCTTTTTTGCGTTTTTATGAAAAAAAAGTCTGACCACCCCCCCCCCTAAATGTGAACCTAGATCCGCCCCTGCATCATCCCCCCATTTCAAGACATCTAGATACGCCAATGACTTACGTAGCCAGATGAATGAAAATACTCAAACTACCGTATGTGCCACCAAATCGTAACCAGCTTTCACGATGCCTTCACGATGTCACCGGGGACACAACTGCCAAAAAAACTATTTTTCGCAGCGATGGGACGCTAGCCAATAAACAATCAACAAATTACCGGGTTTCTGGGTTAATTTGCAAGGTACTACATGGCTCAACTATTTTTTACTTTGGGTTAATTGGTAAAAATCGCATACAAATCATACGACGTCACTGACAACGCCGGGGACGGCAACTTGATTTTGAGATTAATTTTCCGAATAAAGTTATAGGGCCTACTAAATAACTTTTAATGACGAACTATTGTCTTCATTGTCTTAATTCTTTGGCCATTCAACTGTCATTTTATCTATTTTTTCCGGCCCCCCCTTTTTTGGCGTTTTTATGAAAAAATGTTTTTATAAAAGAAAGTCTACATACTTTGAAGGCCGAGGCAATCCAAACTTATTATCATTCTTTTATATGATGTATTAATTTTTGAAAAAATTATTATATTAGTCTAATGATTATATTAATTTTTGGAAAAAAGTTAATAGTATAAGTCGTAAAAATCAGTCCTCATAGAATCTCTAGAGAATATGGTGTGAGCTGGATATCCGTCACTTTTGGGTGAATTATTTAACCCTGAAATTTAGGGGTCTGTCATTAGAAAAATAAAAAATAAAGGATCGCCAGGCATGGAACACGGCACGGGCGGATAACATATAGGTACAGACAAATTTAAATGAAAAAAAGTACTATATACAGAACAAAGACATGGAGAGTTACAGTTTTTGTAACTTCTTTTCTTGGTGCTCGGCTCATCGTCGGTGAGTCTTAACTTTCTGGTACCCAGTTTTAGATAACACATTTTTAGTTGCAGCTGGTCGAAATACAATTGCATAATTTGTTGTAGGGTCAGAATTTTAATTGATTGTATCTTTAGTCGAGTGCTGACCTATTTGTTGTACTGTACTTTACTTTTCGTCATTGAAATAACAATACCATGCAATGCAGTGTAAGCGTTTTCGATCTTTCTGCGGAGTGTCTGTTTACATAAAACCAGCTTTTCATGGAGGCACGATAAAGGAAGAGACATTTACTGTATGTAGGCCTAATTAAGCAGTTATCACAAGCTTGTTTTTATCATAATTAATGTACGTCGAAATATTGAATCTCGACACGATGGCGTGCATTTCGATACTTGGAGTATGTATTATCTTAAGCCCATACAAAGGGGCTGAGTCTCGAGGCCGTAAAAGTGAATGGGTACGTTGTGTTGTAGGCGAATTTATTCGCGCGAATCGAAACCGTCGGTTCATCATGCACATTCACATTCCTATAGCAGTTTTTGCAAGCGAAAACATGCGCAACCAATCAGAGTTCAGGAAGCGAACAGGCTCTTTGATTGGCGAAAATAAATTCGCCTAGTATGCTCGCGAGCGACGCACAGAACAGTTTATCACTGAGGCTGACCCGGACTTGAAAACAGCGCATGCGCAAAATACGCGCTATAGGGATAATTATGAATAATTCATGAGAATTTACCAAACTATCCTACGTTACACAAATTCGCGTCCCATGCGTCCCATTCATTTGTCCGTTGGTGGCGCTGTAAGAACAGAGCACAAGCTAAGCGAAAAAACATATTAAGCCAAAAAGGGGACAAGGCCTATTCACACCAGGAGACGGACGGCTCGGCGAAGGGTAGGCTAGAGATCGGAAAGATAGCATTTGTCGTGTACATTATTACTTAACACAAACTCAACAACAGGCCCTATATGCCATACACACGAACATTACGTGGTGAGAAGTAGATTTAATTGTGTAATGTTTTTCGTCTTACTATTATTATATATGCCTAGGCCTAGGCCCTAAGGCCTAGTCTAGCCTAGTATTATTAGTAAAGTAGGCTAGCCTAGGCCTAGGCCCTAGCTAGTAGTAGGAGGAGGTAGTGCCAGGGAGTTGTTGTGACTATCAACTGGTATGTAGGGCCTAGTTTTAGTGTAGAGTGGCGGGATTAGTAGGCTACTCTCTCTACTGTACTATAGCCTACCTTCTAAGTAGCCTACTAGTACAACTACTGGACCTAGCCAACAGGAAGAGTAAGACAGTCCAGTACAGTACATACTAACGTGCTTAGAACTACCTACGTGGTACTGTATAATTAGGCCACTAGTGTAGAAAAGTGTCCCTTTAATACAGGATTCCATAGGGATGTCCCCTGAATAGGGGGAATTACCCCTGACCAAAAATGTGAAATTGTCCCCTTAATAGGGGTTTTTGGCATGGTTTCATATAGTGATGACATAATTGGTGTCCATTCTAGATATTTAGTGGCCCCCACCCGTATTTATTTCAAAATTTAACAAAAATATAGAAAAAAAGAAAATTTTACTCAAATTTAAGTCTAAGAGTGCCATTTTCGGCTGTCCAGAGTTGCCATAATCATAAATGTTCTTACCTCAGTCCCAATGATGGTGGGGCTGAGGTAGATACACTCTCCATCTGTGAAAGTCCTTCTCTGCCCCCTCTTTCAAATTCTTGAATCTGTCACCTATTTTATGAATCTTTTCAGCTCTACTTTTGAATAAAAGGAAGGATAGCTTTTACTTCATTTTTCTATACTTTATTTTTCATGACCTGGTGAAAATAAGCATCCTATAATCGATTAAATTAGCCCTCTAATCTGTTAAAAGGTTGTAGCTTCCGGGGTGGGAGCGCTTCGCCCCGGGCTCCCACCAAGGATCTGCCCCTCAATCCTGCTAGGTTCCTATATTATTAACATGATGTTGTAAACATTTGTTTGTTATGAATTTTCTTACCCGATGCTAAACTGGATATGACATCATGCCCTATGGATCGACAACACGTCACAACTAAATTCACCAGTCAAGGCAATCCTGTTTTGTATTTACTCAATGGTGATGAGTATTTACGGTATTCAATCTATAACATTGAACAAAGCATAATAAACATAACTTTCAATATCTCGCAATGTATCACTATATTAAACAATTATTATCATTATAATAAGCTTATAACAGGGACAAAAAAAATAAATAAATAATTTACTTAACAGCGCCCTGTATATCTTGGTAAACGTTACTATGGTTATAAAGATGGTGTCTGCCTTTAACGCTGACAGCAACGATAAACCCTATGACATAGCTTAGATCATATCCACGTTAACTATATAATTTACTTGTTACGAATATATATCGTAATATCATAACATACAATTCTGCATATCATTCCTCAAATAAATGATGTATCATTAATTCAACAAACAACTAATTATAATGATTATACTAAATGTGGCAGCCCAATAAATAGCCACTTCGCACATCCCTACTCATCGGGCACACATAAGGCCCTATCTCCTCCTGGTACCCTTTGATGCAGCGCGGTATTAAGCTTATCTCAAATGCTCTACTCTAATAATAACATCATAGGTAAAACTAGCAACATAATTACTATATCATGAATTAAACTTGCTTCTTGGCAGGAATGCCCTAATTTAGTGAATTGCAGTAACTTCTGGAAGTCTCTAATTACCCGAACAATACAATTACTTTTCTCCATAACACATTGTTCGTCGCTCTGCAGGTTAGCTTACTAAATCCAAAAAACCAAAGGTTATCTAATCTACATGTAAAATAGTTTCAACAAAACACCCTATTTATTAATTTTATAACTAATGACAGACAATACACCACCTTCTGACTACCAAATCCTATTTTAAAACAAAACCATTTTGTGGAATGTTGATGACTTTTTGTATCAGCTGAACATGTCTAAAATATAATGGATGGAACTCTAGGGACTGTCATTATGGACATATCTATCTTGAAGCCTAGCCAAAGTGGTATGGTCAGAAAGCTTCACCTACAATGTTGCAAAACTTTTGCTGTTTCGTGAAACTGAAAATTCGTTATCATCCTTCAAAGTTTAATTTTATTGTTCAATGGCTGATTTGGTTGAGAATTTACAAAACAAACTTTGTTCTACCGAAACGATGTGAAAAGGTAACGCATGTAATTTATTTTGTTTACTAGCATGTTTTGCGGAGTAATGTATTATTACTTGTGTGTATTTCCTTTATACTTTTAAGAATTTTTGTTTTGTTTAATAATTTTGTTATTTTATGTACTTGTAGCTAAGAATCTTAATTTTATAACTTGTTTATTTTGGTTCATTTCACAAGCTAGCCGTCCGGCCGTCATTTGGACGGCCTACAATTATTTAGGATGGCACTTTTATATCGTGACGGCTTGGACGGCTTGGCCTAATCAGCTCGGCCTAGCCTAATTGGGCCTGGTCTACCTTTAGCAAATTCTTTATATTCTTGAAATCTATCGAATGTTACATTAAGCTAAAGCTAAATCAAATTTAAGTTTGATAAAGACAACATTTATTGATTGAATGTACGTTGTTTTCGTATCAATATTCGGTGGGGATTCACAAAGATTGGTTCTGTGCCACGTTCACTGGCTTCCATTTTGGACGGCCTATTTTTTTTTTTCTAGCTAAACCCCTGGTTCATTTTGAACGCACCAAATGATTTTTAAGTGCCACCTATCTAAATGTATGTTCTAATAAATACATCATATTATTATTATTATTGGTTTCTATGCTTTCAAGCAAAGGAACCTTTAGGATACCCTTCTTGTGTATGTATGTATGTGACATGTACCGTATGTTACGCTGTTTTTTGTAAACAGGCAAAAGTGACTTTCCAGATATCTGTTCATTATGAGCGTCCGTACCCAAGCAAAACTGGATATGACGTCATGCCCTATTTAATAATTTTGTATTTTGACAAAAATTAAAGCCATAACTAATAAAAGACCCTCTACCCTTGAAAAGACAAGTAAACTGTATGATAAGAGGAAAACATTTATGGAATGTTGTTTACTTTTGTTGTCCAACTAACTGTCTTAAATGTGATGGATTGGACTCTAGGGACTTTTCTGGGTAGTATGGACAGAAAACTTTACACTTCAAAAAGCTTCAATTTCATACCTGATGATAAGGCAGTTCACATAAGTTATTGTGATAACTTATCATGATCTATTCATCATGATAACTTTAGCATGTCAAAGAAAACCATTCATATAGAAACCATCATCATGATATATTTATGCTAATGTGTGCAGTGTTGCATGAAAACTACTAGAAGCACAACCAATGAGTTTGGGACCTACTAGAAGCACAACCAATGAGGTTGGGACCTCTTTAATAAACTGAAAGCTGATTGGTTAATTTTGCTCTCTTGAATTAATTTACCATGTTAACCAAGGTTAATCATGATGAGTCTACATGCTCCACTAGATCACGATAAGGTGATAAAGGTGATAAAAACAAACTTGGTACTTGACAGGATAATCCTTTTGCAGCTTCTATCGGAAGCTAGACTATGTGTGTACAGTACGGTATAGTGAAACCATTGTGGGCTCTGACCCATAGTTAATGTAGGGCCCCCACCAGACAGGTCAAGTCCCAACTGCCAATCAAACAGAGCTCATCGGGCAGTTGGACTAAAAAAAAATATATGAATAAGCCCATGCCAAGCCAACACATGTCTGTCACAGTCTGAGTGTCATTTCTGGCCATCCAGATCGAGGTTCCTATTCTTTAAAAAAATCTTACTTGGAAGGGGAACACCTTCGCAAAAAATCTTTCACAAGCTCCGGCCCACAAGCTCTAGTCCCCCTGTCGGACAGCTCGACCCCAAGAAAATACATCCTACAGCCGCCACATCTACTACATCTTTTTATCATTGGCACTAAACAAGCAGAACAAAAAACCTGATGCAATAAAAATGAAACTGACGGATTAACACTTGAGGTCTCCCTGGTTTCGTTTGTTGCCATGTTTACATCATCGTAAATACAGTAGGGCAATATTTCACGAATGCCCGCATAGGAACCTTGGCCCTCATAGAGGTCTGGTTATTACTATTGATTACTTTAAAAATGAATAAATTAAAAAAAATATTATTTTAAAATATTATTATTAATATTATTATTATTAAATCCTACCACATGTGAGCAGCGACGGCCGTTGTGTCAAGAGATTGAGTCTTAGTACATTTTCTAATCAAATGCCTTAAAAAAGTATGGTTTAACTACTGTACTGTATGTACAGTAGTTCAGGTAATTTGGGCCAAACCAAGAATACGAACATATTACAGTACTACAATTTAACAACTTGTATTGAGATTTTTAATTTACCAAGTTTTTTTTGTTTTAAATATTGCACTAACAATTATAAATTTTTAGAAGATATTTCGTAGCCCCTAGATTAGTCCTAAGTAGTTTAATAAATGTACAGTTACTACCATAAGCATAATCTTATCATACTGTGTCTAGGCCATATTTTAAAAGGTAATATTTATTGTATTGGCATTTAAATTAAATATTCAGCTAGAGTACATTATTTGCTTAATATTGTATGTTTTGGTAAATCTAGGATTTAACTAACAAATAAATACATTTCCATAACATACTGTATGATTAAATACTGTACAGTATATTAAACAACCAAAATAAAAAAGCTAAAATGAGTCAAACAATGTAATATATAAATAGATAGTTTTTGAAGAATGGTTTACAGTACATTGTATAATATTAATTGTTACAGTATGCTATCCATAGTAGTAGAACCTAGAACACTGTCACAGTGGCTCTTATGTTGGATGGTGGTAGAGAGGGTGGGGGCTTGTATAGATGTGGATACGTTGGGGGCTTGTATAAATGTGGATACGTTAATAAGGATGACGATGATGATTGTGATGAAGACTTGCAGTTGTGATAAGACGACAATTATAATAATAACAGTAATAATAGCAACAGTGTCATTGATAACAACCAATAATGATAATTATTCTTTAATTGGCGATGGCTAGGGCGACGGTATGGTGAAGATGACATAACTCATCACCACAATTTAAACATGAAACACTCACTACAAATCCCTCAGTTTTCAGGCTTACTAGAATGTTTGGGATGTGGTTATATTCTTATTCTCCACATTATAATGTATTATGGCTTCTTATTCTCCACATTATAATGTATTATGGCTTCTCATTCTCCACATTATAATGTATTATGGCTTCTCATTCTCCACATTATAATGTATTATGGCTTCTCATTCTCCACATTATAATGTATTATGGCTTCTCATTCTCCACATTATAATGTATTATGGCTTCTCATTCTCCACATTATAATGTATTATGGCTTCTCATTCTCCACATTATAATGTATTATGGCTTCTCATTCTGCACATTATAATGTATTATGGCTTCTCATTCTCCACATTATAATGTATTATGGCTTCTCATTCTCCACATAATGTATTATGGCTTCTCATTCTCCACATTATAATGTATTACGGCTTCTCATTCTCCACATTATAATGTATTATGGCTTCTCATTCTCCACATTATAATGTATTATGGCTTCTCATTCTCCACATTATAATGTATTATGGCGTGTATAAGAGACAGCAATCAAACAGAGCTCATCGTGCAGTTGGACTAAAAAAAAATATATGAATAAGCCCATGCCAAGCCAACACATGTCTGTCACAGTCTGAGTGTCATTTCTGGCCATCCAGATCGAGGTTCCTATTCTTTAAAAAAATCTTACTTGGAAGGGGAACACCTTCGCTTCTTATTCTCCGCATTATAATGTATTATGGCTTCTCTGTACTAATGTACGCAATACTCTACTGCCACATTCTTATTACACAGTTTAATAATAATAATATGTCGCTCTTATATAGCGCTTCATGCACAATGCCTCTAAGCGCTTCACATTACTACCCCGGTCATTGGATCAAACACATATGGAACACATACTCAGCTCCCTGGGGAGAATTCCATAATATTGCAGCTAGTAATCAGCGCAGTTGTGTTCGAACCTACCAGGTACCCACTTGTACTCCTGGGTGGATAGAGGCAACCGTTGTAGATAAAGTGCCTTGCCCAAGGACACAAGCGATTTGCACAACGAGAGTTTCGAACCCCCGACCTCGAGGTTGGGAGTCCAAGCCACAACCGATGCGCCAACCGCTTCCACAGATGGCAACTCTCAAATGTTATCAAACTAATGTCATTTCTTTTTCATACTTCACAGCAAAGAAGGAATTCCAGGTCATACTGGTAATGTCAAAACCAATACCAAAGAAGAAAATGTTTAATGATGAAATAAATGATTTGCTGCTGAAATACACCCTTGTGATGTCTTCTGTTCACAATGCCTAATGAAAAAATAAAATACATTGAAATACAGTAAGAAGATTATTATATTAACAAAATGTCAGCTCAAATAGAGATTGAGGAAAGAAACAAACAAGATATGAAATATAAATGTGAACATTGTGGAGAAAAATTTGATTTAATTACTTTGAAGACACATTTGGGGATTAATAGAGATAAACAATTTCAACATGAACATTGTAGTAAAACATTTCAAAGGAGTTTAAAAAGACATTTGAGGCTACATACAGTAGAGGCACCAAATGAATGTGAACATTGTGGAAAGAAATGTAGAAATCCTAGTACACTGAAAAAACATCGGATGATACATACAGACGAGAAGCCATATAAATGTACACATTGTGGAAAGAAATTTCTAGCCATTTACAGTTTGAAAAGACATTGGAGGGTACATACAGAAGAGAGACCATATGAATGTGAACATTGTGGAAAGAAATTTAAGGACAGCAGTGGATTGAGAAAACACTTGATGATACATACTGGAGAAAAACCATATGAATGTGAACAATGTGGAAAGAAATGTAGAGATAGTAATACATTGAAACTACATTGGATGGTACATACAGGCGAGAAGCCATATGAATGTACACATTGTGGAAAGAAGTTTATAACCATTTACAGTTTGAAAAGACATTGGAGGGTACATATAGAAGAGAGACCATATGAATGTGAACATTGTGGAAAGAAATTTAAGGACAGCAGTGGATTGAGAAAACACTTGATGATACATACTGGAGAAAAACCATATCAATGTGAACAATGTGGAAAGAAATGTAGAGATAGTAGTATATTGAAACTACATCAGATGGTACATACAGGCGAGAAGCCATATGAATGTACACATTGTGGAAAGAAGTTTTTAACCAGTTCCCTTATGAAAAGACATCTGAAGGTACATACGGGAGAGGCACCATATAAATGTACACATTGTGGAAAGAAATTTATAGCCCTTTACAGTTTGAAAAGACATTGGATGGTACATTCAGAAGAGAAACCATATGAATGTGAACCTTGTGGAAAGAAATTTAGGGACAGCAGTGGATTGAGAAAACACTTGATGATACATACCGGAGAAACACCATATAAATGTGAACATTGTGGAAAGAAATTTAGAGATAGTAATACATTAAAACTACATTGGATGATACATATAAGTGAGGCCATATGAATGTACACATTGTGGAAAGAAGTTTATAACCAGTTCCCTTATGAAAAGACATCTGAAGGTACATACGGGAGAGACACCATATGAATGTGAACATTGTGGAAAGAAATTTAAGGACAGCAGTGGATTGAGAAAACACTTGATTATACATACAGGAGAGACATCATATAGATGTGAACATTGTGGAAAGAAATGTAGAGATAGTAGTACATTGAAACTACATCAGATGGTACATACAGGCGAGAAGCCATATGAATGTACACATTGTGGAAAGAAGTTTTTAACCAGTTACCTTGTGAGAAGACATTTGAGGATACATACCGAAGAGACACCATATGAATGTGAACATTGTGGAAAGAAATTTAGATGTGGTAGTGGTTTAAAAAAACATATGAAGGTACATAGAGACAAGAAGCCATATGAATGTGAACATTGTGGAAAGAAACTTAAGAACAGTGCTGTATTGAAAAAGCACCTAATGATACATACAGGAGAGACACCATACCAATGTGAATATTGTGGAAAGAAATTTAGAGGTATTAGTGACTTGAAAAAACATTGGCGGGTCCATACCGGAGAGACGCCTTATGAATGTAAACATTGTGGAAAGAAGTATAAACACGGTTTTCAGTTGACAGTACATTTGAGGACACATACCGGAGAGACACCATATCAATGTGAACAGTGTGGAAAGAAATTTAAAGATGGTAGTGAATGAGAAAACACTTGAAGATACATACAGGAGAGGTGCCATATGATTGTGAACATTGTGGAAAGAAATGTAAGAACGTAAATGTTTTAAAAAAACACTTGAAGATACATACATTTGCATGTACATACAGGTGAAAAACCTTATGTATGAACTGGCAGAAATTTTATAACCAGAAAGGAATTTAGAGATGGTGGGGTGTTAAAAGGACATTTAAGAATACATACAAGAGAGATACCGTTTGAATGTGAACATTGTGGAAAGCAATTTAGAGATAGTGGGGTGTTAAAGTACATTTAAGAATACATACAAGAGATACACCGTTTGAATGTGGACATTGTGGAAAGCAATTTAGAGATAGTGGGGTGTTAAAAGTACATTTAAGAATACATACAAGAGATACACCGTTTGAATGTGAATATTGTGGAAAGCAATTTAGAGATAGTGGGGTGTTAAAAGTACATTTAAGAATACATACAAGAGATACACCGTTTGAATGTGAACATTGTGGAAAGCAATTTAGAGATAGTGGGGTGTTAAAAGTACATAAGAATACATACAAGAGATACACCGTTTGAATGTGAACATTGTGGAAAGCAATTTAGAGATAGTGGGGTGTTAAAAGTACATTTAAGAATACATACAGGTGAGAAACCTTTTGAATGTACACATTGTAGAAAGAAGTTTATAACCAATTCCAGTATGAAAAGACATGTTAAGATACATACAAGAGGGTCCAAATTTTGATATGAACTTTTGAACGTGAACATTGGAAAGCTGTTAACCAATTCAGACAAATACAGGAGAGAAACTTTTTTAGATGACATGTGAATTGTGTAAAGAAATTATAGAACAAAAAATATCTGGTATCAGAAGATACATACAGGAGATACTCTATATAACTTTTGTGAGCATACTCTTTGTTAGGTACAAATAAAAAGAATTTGGATGTTGACAACGTTGTTGAAATTAATAAAATAAGTAAACAACTATGTTTGGAATTTTACTTTATTTCCATCCTGTTTCACTGTTTTATTTTTGTTGATTTGTTACTTGCTTTTTACTGAAATGCAGTATGTTTAAACTTCGTACAAATTTTGCTTTTTTTTTTTTTTTGAATTTTGTATTTCTGGGATGTTTTTCTTTTACTATTTTAATTCCTTGATTTTTCTGTTTACCTTTGCGTTTCCAATTTTACTTTTGTTCACTTATATTGTTACTTGATTAAGTAAGTTTGGATGCACCACTGATTAGTGTGTGCCACTGTTGTGAAAGTGTGTGCCGATAAAAACAGAAAATTCTTTTCAGAAATATTTACTATGTACCGTCAGCATTACTTAACATGCAAACCGTCAAACAATATTTCATCATTATCATCAGTTTAGTATTTACAAGGACAACAGTACATCATCCTAATCCAAATCACAAATATGGATCCATCGGGGGCAGATCCAGAGATGTCAAAAAAAAGGGTGGGGGAAAATCGAGCCTACACAACGCCGGATGTGTCCTCAGCCCCTTCACCCTTTAATGAAATAAAAAAAAAAGGGGATTGATCGCCCAAAACGCCTCAGAGGTTACATTCGGGCGTCTGTCTAGAAATCAAATATTTTGTGGACCTGACCTAGGGTGGTGTTATTTCAATCGGCGCCATTTTCAGTTCCCCTGTTGGACATCTGTGGATCCACTCCTGCTGGCAGGAACCCTTTCCATATATGGTAAATGAAATATTAAAGCTTAAACAAAGTTGAAAAATAAAAAATCGGAACCATAGACGAGAGGTGAACACACGCGTACACATTAATTGCCATGGCATGTGTTTGCACCTAAAAATACGGGAACCTATTTGTGGGCGTTTTTTCCCGATTTTTATAGTTTCCATGCAACAATAGGCCTTGTGAGTGAAATTTCGGGCTTAATATCAAAAGAAGCTTGAAACAGCCATTAACATTGTAGGCCTATAAATTTTTTTTAAAACTATATTTTACTATTTCCATTTATATTTATTTGTGTATTTTATAAACATAACCAAAATAAGTATTGACAATGGAAATAAAACAAACTGAAGATACAAACCATGTGTCTTGTTTCACCTCAACATAGGCCTAATTGTTTAAAACGTTTCTTTCCTCAAATTATATTGTAGTTAATAATTTCTTTAGTTAAGTTCTCTGCGATGAGTGATTTTGTCGACCATATGTTAATATCTGATAATTTTGCAGTATTATATAGCCTAGTTTCATGTTTAACAAACGGCATACAGCTTAGCCATGTTCAATTAAAGTATTATTCGCGGCCGCACCTTCGGCGCTCCATACACCGCAGCCAAAATGCATGAGGCAAAAATTCCAACTCAGAGCCGAAATGTCTCCGGGCCGAAACGACCCGGGGCCGAATGGACTCAGGGCCGAAACGACCCTACACCATAGAAAACAGCAGTTTCTTTCGCACTGCGCCAGTGCCGATAGCTAGCCTCAGCCTATTTTATATTGGTTTATAGCCACTAATTATCGAGAAAGTCATCCCTGCTATTATCCCGGAACTGTCGCTATGCTTAGTAGGCTTATTATTCACATGAAATTTTGTAGTCAGATTTATAATACTCTTGTATTATTCCGTTACAGTACAGTAGGCCCCCGGAGTACAGGCCTAGTTTAGGTCGACTCACTGGATGCGTATTCTATGCAGGTAGAGAGATTATTTCTAGTAATAACATAATATGACAATATAAATATGAAAACAGGGTGACCACTACTTGAAGTAAGCGAAAAGAGTAGTAATTCTCCTTCCTTATTAATTCAGGAAGGTTTCCAGTCAACAGCTTTCTGAAGAAAATTCACATTTATCCTAAGTCTATCCGACTATAGGACTATACTTCTGTGTGCTGGAGTTCCGATCGGGATCTCTCAGTGTTCCTTCTTTTCTGCTGTGTCTTTTTCCTTCTTTCCTGTTCTCCTTGTTTCCTTGGATATTCTGGCTATATGTAGGGGATCTGGCTCCACCCTACTCATTCGAATATTCAATTATCATTGG